TGTGTTCCTGGAGGTCAACCGAGCCTCCATTCTTATCTCACTACCATTCTAGTATACCAAAATACATAAGAAATCCCTTTCCCCAACCCCCCCAGACTTCCCAGAACTGGTTACGGGATTAAACACTCATCTTCCTAAGTCTACATAAAACTACCCAATATAAACTAATCTAATATAAACATACTTTAACTCATTAAAATATTTTATGGCAATTTCTATTAGGTTGTCGGGACAGTTCTTGAGAATGTGTGCCTCACTTTTTGATGGATTACTATGCATTTAGAGATATCTGCCTCTTCTTCCTAGTGCTCCCCAGAAAAAAATGAATGGCTGACACCTTGCAAATAGTAAACCTCTTTTGCTGTGTAAAGTACATCTTGGCTTGTGAAAATGGTGTAACGTGGAAATTGTTACACTACACATGCATAAGTCTGACTCAATTTTCCAATAAGCAAGAGAGCTAATTTACTTCTAAGAGCTAAACATAAACCGGCAACTGTGGCTTTGCTATGTAGGAATGTTTTCTTTGCTTGAAGGGAAGTCATTCTTTATTTTTACAGGTTGGCATGACTAATCTTTTTCCTTCTCAGGTTACTGCACCTGGCAATCATCCACTGTATGCCATCTATCGCATTCTGCTGCATTGCCCAAATGCCCGTGGAGGTTTTGGAATTCCAGAATGATTTGTTCCAAGTAAGTGGTAAGAGACATGAAGAAGGATCAGGGTTCCTTCTGTTCCAGATGGAAGAGAGCAAGTTGCAGGGTGGCAATAATCTAAGGCTGGAAATTAAAGTGCTTTTGATGATAAATAAAAATTTTTTGTCTATACTCTAAAAGGTGTTTTAAACATAAAGATCTATTCCGCTTAATGGTAACATTCTTTGAACGTTTTGTTGTATTATTTCTTATGCCAAAAGGTTTGTGACACTCAGAAGTTAATGGTCTCCTTCACATAACAAAAAGATTCTACTGTTTTTATTGTTTTAACATGTTTTTAGTATTTTGATTGTAGTATGTTTTTTGAATTGTAAGCCACCCAAAGTCATTGGGGAAAATAAAGCCACCCAAAGTCATTGGGGAAGTAAAGTAAAAAAGTAAAGTAAAGTAAAGTAAAGTAAAAAAGTAAAGTAAAGTAAAAAAGTAAAGTAAAAAAGTAAAGTAAAGTAAAAAAGTAAAGTAAAGTAAAGTAAAGTAACACAACAAGCAGGACTTCAGGATTAAAAGGTCTAATTGAGGAGAGAAAATCCAGATGAGTACTGTGATGAGAATACTGCTTTGTAGTCAAAAAAAGTAAAAAAAAAAATGACTTGATGGCACACAATCAATCAACAAAATATATAAAGGTGTCTCCATCAGCAAAACAATGTAAGACAGAATTGAAAGCTTGTATAGGCCCTTCATTTTCCTCCAGAATTAATAATAAGCCAATTAATAAATGTTTTCACCAGGATACTCCAAATTATTTAACCTATATTATTTAAGCTTGCATAGCTCCTTATTTTTTGCCTTATTTTTCTTCTTAAAATACAATATCTAAATACCAAAAACAGGTGGCTGAGTCGTAATCTGAATTTTATGATTTCTTAAATAGTTAATAACCCTTTTGTTAAAGATGATCATTATTATCTGACCTATACTGACCACTGACCATTTGATAAATAAATTTTAGAACCAGTGCTAAATCTCACAGTTTCCTTTATTAATCCATCTATGAACTGCTTATCTTGATTTCTAGTATTATACAAGTATCATATTTATTTTAACAAGAAATATAAAATACATTGTAAACACACAGATTCCAAGTTTCTTTAAATAACACAAGAAATGACTTTACAAGTCTGAGGCATTTGCTAACCTCTCATTTGTTGACAATTACAGTAGCACATCAATGTAGAATAATTTAGTATGTAAGCAGAACCAAAAATTAGAAAGAAAATCTGTTTTAGATCTCTGACACTTCCAAAATAAATCTTGATCATCAGTGTCCTTCTTTGCCTCATATTACGGTAGATAATACGTTTTGTTGTGATTTTGTTTTTTTTTTATAAAAAACATAGAACACTAAAGATCTATCAGCCTTATTAATTATTTGGCTATTTAAAAGGTTCTTATTCTGAATAGATTTTTCTGTCTTTTGTTAATCACAGGAAGGAAAAAAGAATCAATTATGAGTATGGACACCTTCTAATCACTGGATATTCTATTAAGGGCCAACCTCTGGATTTAGAGGATTGTCTAGGCCAGAGTTCCCCAACCTTTCTACCTTTGTGGACTGGCGGAGGGGGGGGAGAGGGGGTGGTTCTGCGCAAGTGGTGGGCAAGTATGTGCGCGCAGCTCCATTTGCATGAGTAGTGGGCATGTGCATCTGCCGCTCACGCAAATGGAGTGCGCTCACGAACATTTACCCACAACTTCTGTGGCCCAGTTTCGAATGATTCAAGGCCTGGTATTGGGCCACAGCCCAGGGGTTGGGAACCCCGAGCCTAGGCATTGCCCACCTTATTTTCAAGATCCTAAACCTTGCATCGCTGCTGAATTTTATATTTCTTGTGATGCCGTTAAAATCCATGTGAATCCAAGTTTGTTTATTGGATTTGTACGCATACCTGCCTTGCCTCTCCACTCCTCTCCAGCCCACATTCCTCTTATTTTTTTTTGCCATTTGCAGACTCCGCTTCACTTGTCTGTGTATTTGGAGCAGTTCGAAGTGGTGAAAGCACTCATTCTGAAAGGGGTGAACACGGCACTGCAGGACCGCAATGGGAATACTGCTCTGCACTTGGCCTGTGAGCAGCAGAGTCTGGAATGTGTTGAGCTGTTGCTGCCTCTGAAGAAACCAGTTTCTGATATGCAGACTAGAAAAAGTCTACAAGATCTGCAGCTCCAGAATTGGCAAGGTAAAGGAGAGTGCGGAGTGATCACATTGGGTCTGATGAGTGCTAAAAGTCAGCGCTTAAATGCTTCACTTGTAACAAGTTTCTTGAGCTGTTTGGGTTTTATTTTATTTACTCCAGGCTTATCGTGTCTTCACATCAGCACCTTGAAAGGTAACCTTCACTTGATAGCATTGCTGGTGCAGAATGGAGCTGACATTAATGTACAGGTAAGTTAGGAACATCTAGCAGAGCTCCATCTCTGATGTACTGTATATCAATTCTGAAAAATTTTTTACTGAGTGGAAAATTCTGCACACTGGCAGAATTTAAAAGCTGGCTTTGTAAGAAGTATTGAGATGGCTAATACTAAATATGTAGAGAGTGTGACTGAAAAGGTGGAAGAGGGGATAGAGAAAGGCTAATTCACCTATGTGACAGCCAGTTTGATATAGTGGATAAAGTATCGGGCTAGAAATTGGGAAACCATGAGTTCTAGTTTTGCCTTGGCACAAAACCAGCTGGGTGATTTGGGGCCAGTCACTTTCTCCCAGCTCTAGAAAGGAGTCAATGGCAAACCATTTCTAAAAATCCTTGCCAATTAAATTGCACTGAGAATTGGACACAACTGAATAAAAGGTTAAAAAAAAATGAGCTGTAGCTTTGCCTATCTTCTCTTTCTTTCTTTCTTTCTTTCTTTCTTTCTTTCTTTCTTTCTTTCTTTCTTTCTTTCTTTCTTTCTTTCCTTTGTGCAAGGATAGGATCACTTTTAAACTTACAGGATAAAACCTTCTTTAGAGTGAAATTTGGATTTAGTTAGTGATTACATGCCATCCACAGAAGATTGATTTTAGAAAGCTAAACAGGGTCATATCAGGATAGGTGGTTGGCTGGCTGTGGAGATGACTGGGAAGCAAACAAACAAATCAACAACAACAAAAGCATCCTGGAACAAATCAATTCTGCATTGCTGCTAACCAAACGACACCCACATGATCATAGTCGCCAGGAGTCAATTTCAATTCCAAAGAGTCATGATCATTTCAGAATTATGTACAATCCTGATTACTTGCTATTGGATGGGTGTGCGAATAGGAGTTCAGTGGAACCTCCTGATTCAGTTTTTGCATCCTCAGGAAGAGAATGCCTGACTTAGTTCTGACTTAGGAATTGCTATGCCACTGTGATTCCTACCATAGGCTCTTCTAGCTTCGAGCAATTTGCTTGAATCTCAGGTGTACCATGGCCCAGAAGGGAACTTTCTCCTTCTCTTATTTTGTTAGAATCTCTCAGGTGCACCATGGCCCAGAAAGGAACTTACTCTTATTTTGTTTGGAGTTGATTTTCACTGTTGTCTTTTTAAGAGCATGCACAATCTAATTGCACTAAGGTAACCCAGGAGTAAATAGTAAACAATGGTCTGTATTAAATGGTGGTTTATATTACACTATCTACAAATATACACTAGAAACAAGATACATGTACATGGTCATTCAGCAAACTCCAATACACAGCAATTACAGCAGGGAACGGACAAGAGAGAAAGACTCCAACAAGGCCTCCCCTTTTATACTCAAACTCTTAAAGGGATACAGACTCCTACTGAGTCATTCCTAACATTGCATCATTCATCTCACATTATGCAAGCTGGTTAGCTTCTAAATCATTACCTTGACATCTTTTTTACTCAAAGACCAAGAAGTGGCAGGCTTTTGCACTAGGAAATCTAGGTTTCTTAAACTGTGTCTACCCAGAAAGGTACGTTCTTTGGAATTTTGCTCATGAGATCTCGTGAAATAACTGACCCCCATCTCTTGCTCTCTCAGGATGGCACAAGTGGAAAGACACCCCTACATCTGGCAGTGGAGAATCATGATGAGATGGCTGTGAGGCAACTCCTGCGATTGGGGGCCCAGGTGGATTCACAGATGTACAATGGCTGCACCCCACTGCATCTGGCTGTGGGCAGGAACGATGCTGCCATTGCTGCAATCCTCTGCCATTCGGGAGCAGATACCTTATTGCGGAATATGGAAAATGAGACAGCTCAAGATCTGGCAGATGGCAATAATGATGTGAGAGTTTCTCCTGGAATGACTTGCAATAGATCGGTCTCCATAGGCAAGAGCCAAGTAATCTGAGCTGGTTATAGAATAAGAGGGGACATCATTTTGAGAGTGTGGAAGCCAACTTCAGTCTATCCACTTTCTAATAGGCAAGAAGCCATCCACAAAATGGAGTATTTAAATATTTGGCCTGTTGAAAGGGAGGTTAAGAACTGGAAAGGGGAACTGGTCATTTTTTTAGAATGTAATTTTGAGGCTGAAGGGTTTAAAAGCAGGGGCTAGTGCCACCTATCTCTGAGAGGCTTTTCATTCCTACACTAAACACCAACACCGAGGCCCCAAAAAATGGAAAGATGAAAAATGTCAATTTTGAGTTGTATTTGAATGGTTTTCAGAGCAGAAATAGAAGCAGTATCCTTTGTAGAAGGTTCCCAGTTCCAATGTTAATTGCAAAACTTTTCACCTTTAGAATGTGGCCATTTTGCTACAGAATTTCATCAGCACACTCTCAGGGTGTTGGGAAGCTAATTATAGCTGTGGGTTGCCTACTCCCGATCTGAAAGTAAGGCAGAGATACCAGTTGTGTCATGTAGTTCTTAAGTTTTAGCACATGATGTTTAGCAAAGAGGCAAGAATTGGGAGTTCTGGTAACTGCAGTTGTCTCTTGTTTCCATGATACTCTTTGTATCTTTGATTTGCCAAGTTGCAGTTCACATCCATCTGATCTTAATCTTAAAGGCTACGTGCAGGGAGGAGCTGTTAAACTGGCTAGTCTGCCTCTAGGGTTGCCACTACTTTGGCATCATGGCAGCTTCTTTCAGTTCCAAGCAACAACATAGGGCAGGATAGGCAGATTTCATCAATTACGCTGCAGTGAATCAGGATGGTAACTGATGTCCTTCCTACATCAGGAAGATGAGGATCTAAGCAAAGCAGACCTCCGTGTAGGTCAAAATGAGTACCAGATTTTACTCTGAAGCCGAATAATGTTTGTCTTCATTATTAATATACAGGCAATTGATAAAAATGGAAATCAAAGGTCACTGGGCTCCCTTAGGTTACATATGCAGATTCATGCTGTGAAACCCAACCCAGTGCAGAGACCAGGGCCACTCTGGTGTCTTCTAAGAGAGAATGGTTAGAGTTCTGCATTGTACTTTAGAGAGCTGGATTCCTGTCACTTCCAAAGGTGACCTTTAGCTATTTGCTGTCATATTGCCTGACTTACCTCAGCTTCTAGGAAAATAAAACGGTAAAGCCTGATCTCCTTTAGGAAAGAAAGGATATCAATGCCTAATGTCTGATGTTCTTGACATCTTAGAACAGGGGTCTTCAAATTTGGCAACTTTAAAACTTGTGGACTTCAACTCCCAGAATTCTGGGAGTTGAAGTCCACAAGTCTTAAAGTTGCCAAGTTTGAAGAGCCCTGTCTTAGAAAAAATATTCTTCTTCTTTAATAAATAATAAAACTCATGATCTTGATGTGGAGGAAGTTGCTAGATTATCATGAAAAAAATATTTTTAAAAAATAGAATATTTTTATACATTAGGATAGAGTTCAAACTAGTGTTCTGGTCACATGCCTTACTTAATAACTGCCCCCAAATTAACAACACATTTTTCAGGCTCTTTTGTGGCCATAAGTTGAGGACTACCTGAGTACCTATAGTGATGAATTTAGTCTTGTTTGGGAAAGTTTTGGGTGTTCACATAGGTGTTTTCTTTCAGGAATATGTGTGTCCCCAAAACACGTAGAAAGGGATCATATATAGTAAATTACCTGTGAATATCCTGGTCTTCATAGGAAAAATATCACAAATTATCTTCCTGCATAATGGGTAGAAGGGCTTAACCACAGAATTCATTGCTCTTTCTGACCACACTAGATAGCTGACAATCTTTGCAAGCTGTTTGTGCTTTGTGTTTCTGTCCCTCACTGAAGTGATGATTAATTATGCACTGTCAAGTTATGGAGTCAATGTCGACTCTTAGCGACCACAAGGATGGGTTTTCTCTATGTTAAAATGGCAATACTAGCTCTTTTGTACACAACCTTCTTGACCGGTAACTGTATCATTATTTGGCTTTTGTTGACAGATCCTTACACTTTTGCCTTTTGATGACCTGAAGATCTCCGGAAAGCCTGTGATGTGCTCCAGCCGAACATCCTAACATCTAAAGGGGAAAGTTAACCTTGTGAGGAGGATAACATTGCTGCTTGAGGCTGGCAGTGGCACAGCTGGCCACCAATGAATCATTCTCTTTTGTTGTAATATGGGGCTTTGGGACAACCACAGCCTTTTTTTGAGACTATGGAGCCAGTGTGAGAAAGGAAAACTGCTTTGTATGTTTTGACTTTAAATGCTGAATGAGAATGTGGAAATGCTGCCTCTTTGAAGGGACACGAGGTTTGGATAAACTGGTCCAATGCTTGCTCTCCCAGGTTTATCTAAATTTGGAGAAATTCCTTAAGAATTGCATTCCAGATCATATTGTGAATAGATATTTCAGATTTCACTCTTTTTCCTTTTCTTCGGTTGATAGCCCTAGACTATGACGGGACATGTCATGGGCTCTCTGTCTTGTGTCTACCAAAATAATCTCTTTTAAAGGTATTTTTTCTGCACTAAGTGCAGTTTTTCTACTCCTTTCTTCCCTAGCTAATTCAGTCTCCACTGTTGCTCAGGCTCCTACTTGCAGTGTCTAGACACCAAATTGCCCCACATCTCCCTTTAGCTCTGATTTTGCCTCCCATGGAGGCAGGACAGAGTTCTCAGGACCAGAATGTTGTGTTGTTTCAGCTGGCAGCCTCTGGGATTGACAAAATATGAAAACTAAGCTCATGGGGACAAGTAGAGTCTTAATCACTTTTGCCTTGGAATAATTGATGTTCTTAGGGTGAGAGCAAAAGTCAGTTACTGTTCTACTCAATTTGCTAGTACTGCTGTAAAGGGAAGTGCCAACTTCTTAGATTATTTAGGTAGCTTTATGCTGGACACTTGACCTTGCACTTTGAAACTGAGTCTATAGTTAAACTTATGGAGTCATGAGTGGCTGTCATCCTTCCTTAGAGACTGAAAGTTCCCATCCTCCTCGTTTCTTTTGAACATAAGCTGCAAAAGAGATATTAATGAGTGGCATTTGGGCATTTTTTCCAGCTTTAATTGATGGGAGAAGCAATATCATAAATTGGAATTGTTTCCCACATCCTACAGCTTTGCATTTAGTTGTCTTCAGTTTATGACTGGATACGCTCGCATCAAGCCATAGGTGCTTAAGATTTCCTTTGCATTTTAAATAGGCAGGTATTACTATCCTGAAAGGACTGCAGAACCACTGTGGGTTGGAAAGCCGTGACCTGTCAAATCTAAGCATTTGTTGGGAGACAGCACTGCCCTTGCTGATTGTGGCCTCCAATCTGATAACACTTTACATAGATCATGCAATTAGTGAGAAAATCATCGGGGTTGTCAAATCAAAGAAATAGAGTTTCTAATATATAAACTTTAATCTGGAGCAGGGAAATTCCCAGTTCCCTCCCTCCTACTGTTTGCTACTTGGGAGTGGCTGTCTGTAACTGTGGCAAATCCTGGATGGCGCAATGAACTGGGATGTCCCAGGGAGAGGCTTTTGGGTTTTCCTTTTTTTTCCAGAGAAGAAACTATTTCCAAAAAAGAAATGGCAGATTTACAAAATATTTTCTACCAAAGAGGTCCTTGATTTTTATATCCTTTTCTAACTTTAGAGCCTTGCTTCTTACTTTTTTTTCCAGTCGTTTTGTTTTCTTTTTCACTTTTGTTTTTCAATGACAACATAAAGTTCTTAAAGTGAATAAGTATCCTGCTTTTATGTGTTGGTCTCTAGATGCATTTGGGGTTTTTTTTCCACTTTTGCTTTTCAGTGACAAAACAAGGTTCTTAAAGTGAATAAATATCCTGCTTTTATGTGTTGGTCTAGATGCATTTTCTTCATGTAATATATTTTCTATCTGGGAAAAATCTTTCAGCTGCAATTGCAAGTAAAAGTACAAGTCAGATTTAAACCCCAGTGTATGAAGAATCCCCCGCTATGAATTTCAGGGTCAGTTGGACTGGTGAAGAGAAAGTATTGCAACAGAAATAAACTGTTTTTTCAAATACGGCTCTGTAAGTTGCTTAGATCTAAGATATGCTACCATCTTGTGGTTGATTGTAATGCTAGCTTCCTTTTGTGCTTGTCTCCCAACCACAAGTTGCAAGATTATACTATAAACGCACTTCAGTCAAAATATTCTGCTGTCTCAATGGATCTCTGCATCTTTGTATGAGTAAAACAGGCAAAATTAGAATGTTTGAGGAAATTAAAATCTAGATCTCACTGTAAATGCTAATGGTTTAGTTCTCTGGATGAAGCAGCAGTTCAAGCTGTACTTATAGTGAGTAAATTTATATTCACAGAAATTAACATCACTGTGCATTTTGTGGTCTAAGAGTAAATGAGAGCTTATACACTGTATAAGTTCCTTGCCTGACCCAATGAAAAGAATTGTGTTCAGGAATGCCCAAAAGATAGATTGCATTCTACTGATAATCTGTAGATATTTGGGGATAAATTGACAGGGAGCAAATGCTGGTACAGTGGTTAAGGCATTGGGCTAGAACAGCGGTTCTCAACCTATGAGTCGCGACCCCATTTGGGGTCGATTGACTATTTCACGGGGGTCGCCAAGCAAGGCTGTCGGCCATTTTTTTCCCCTTTTCCGGCGGGTGCCTTACTTCCCTTGGGCTGGGCCAGCTGGTGGTCGGCCTGCTCCGTCTCTGCCGCTTGCCAGCTACGCCTCGGCCAGCGCAGGGGGCAGAACCACACATGCGAGGCGCTCCCGGGCAGGGAAAGTCCTTGACTTATGACCGGTTGGGTAGTCCTCGACTTACGACCGGTTTAGACCTCGACTTACAACCAGTTGGGGGTCGCGGCATTAAAAAGGTTGAGAACCACTGGGTTAGAACCTGGGAGACTGTAAGTTCTAGTCCAGCCTTGGGTCCAAAGCCACCTGGGTGACCTTGAGCTGGTCACTTTCAGCTCTAGGAAGGAGCTGAAGGAGCAAACCATTTCTGAAAAACCTTGCCAAGAAATCTGCAAGGATTTGTCCAGGCAGGGACAAATGTACTCGGGAGAGATTGTGTTCCTTAACTTATAAATTAAGTTATAACTTGTAGCATGGGACAGGACTATTTGCAGAACCCCTCTCCCTGGTTGTTTCCTTCCTTCCTGTAGGATCTGAAACTCAAAGCATGCTCCGAGTTTTCTCAATTAAACAAGGCCATCAAATGGAGTGTAGGAAAGAGGCCATTTTGGTGTAGCACCTGCCCTTTAAACTCCATAACCCCCCCTCCACCCCACCCTTGCCAAGATTAGATTGGCTTCAACCCCTGCCAGCCTTTCACAAAGCACTGAACACCTGAATGTGCTGTAAGGCAGAGTAGAATTGTTAGATGGCCTGTGAAATTGGGTGTTATTGTGATGTTGAGTGCTTAATAGGATTGATTTTTGGTCACCAGTGTAGAGGTGTTTTGTTGATACTGGGGTGATTTTTTTATATTATTTTAATGTATTATTATCCAGCATCTGATCTGTGAGAAGGGCAGCCATATATATTGATTTAATAAATTAATTAATATCTTCTTGCCTGTGCCTTTATTTTGCACGACTGTTCTGGCTTGTAGACTCCTGAGGTCAACTTAAAAACAAATTATATCCTGCAAACCTGGATTTTACCACTTGTGACTTGGAAGCTTTTTTACTTGGCTTTTTAAAAAAAAAATCATAACGTTTTTGAAGATGAAGTAGCATCAATAAATAATTCAGGGATGTAAATATTGCTTCTGATTTTTACATTTTTACATTCTCCATATGACCTTATTTACAGCATTAGTTCATCTGAAATTACTTGGGGGGGGGATAGCTAAACTCAAAGAGTCAGCATTAATGGCTCAGGGGAGAGAAGTAATAAATAGAGTACTGCAGTTACCTAAATTTCACTTAAATGTAGGGAAGAACTTCATGAGAGTAAGATCTGTACAACAGTGGAATAGCTGTGGAGTCTCCATCTCTGGAAATTTTTAAGAGGAGACTAATAGCCACCTCTCATTGATGATTTAATTGATTTTCTAGCATAATGCAGAAAGTTAGACTACATGATCTTTGTAGGATGCTTCGCTCACAGCAATGCATTTTACAGGACATTTTCTCTATATTTTGCACAGCCCTATTATGCCGCCATATAAACCACTTTTATACTGCATTTTCTATTTGTTCCATTTGTTAGAAAGGTATGTACTGTACCTGTAGCATGATCCACAATATATGGTAGCGGTCTCCAATTAATGATAATAAGAGACACCTAAGCAAACCAAGATTACAAAAATCTTACTAACTGCATATTCTTCGTAAAGAGGTGAATCTCTCTGCTACATTTGAAAATCTTTGGTGTAATCTGACTCTGGGTGACTGCGACCTTTCATCCTGTGCACCAAACTGGAGGTGGAATATATAATAACCTACTCATTTTGGGAAATTCTTTCAGCCCCCACATAAGCATACTAGTAGAATGTCACTGCAAACATTTAGATTCCATTGTGACTCCCAAGAGATTGCCCACGTCTTATATCAGAAATGGCCCACACATTTTCACATGCCTACACATCGTTTTCTGGAACAGGAGACACATATCACTCTTTAATAGTAAAAACAGAAAAGTCTTTTGTCCACCCATAGCCACAATAAAATATGTTCTTTCATGCATCCCAATAGCTCTTCTGCAGGTGATTGCTGGGGAAATCAACAGTCAGCTACTGTTAAGTAAAGATTGAGATCCCACACATTTTGTTCTCACCATTATAATGCAGTATCAATTTAATTATGCATATAATGACAGCCAGAGAAGGCTGATAGATGCTAGAGACCAGCTTTTTTACAATGAATTCTTCCTGTATGGTTTAATTTACATTATTAGGTAGTATATGCCATTTATAAGATACTGAAAGCTTTGATAAATTTCAACAACTGATTGGCTTAGGCAATGATCTGAAGATTGATTTAGGTACTAAATTTTCTCATACTTAAATATAAAAATTATCTAAAGTATAACGTTAAAAGCATCCATTGCATTTAATCATGAAATATTGTCAGAATAGTTCTTTATCTGGAAAAGAAAACCTTCAGTGATGCTTTTATCCTCATGGTCTTGATTTAACACTTGGTTTATATTCTGCCTTTTCTATGATATTTTGTTCATGGTGCACATTCAAGTCGCATGGCTTCTGTATCTAGTACTATTCAGTCAGCCAGGGAAGATCATGTAGAAGAAAGATCAGAATAAAAAGAAAAATCTGCTGTCTGACAGGAGGGAGAATGGGGACCCCCCCAATGGATCTTACCAGCTCCCCATTTGTAGCCTGCTGTCAAAATGGATGAATGTTGACCATGCAATTTTCGACTGTTTTTAGAATTAGGGGAAGGTAATGATGGAAACAGTAATAGTTTATCTCATAAAGCAGGGGTCTTCAAACTCGGTCCTTTTATGACTCACGGACTTCAACTCCCAGAATTCCTCAGCCAGCATGCCTGGCTGAGGAATTCTGGGAGTTGAAGTCCATGAGTCATAAAAGGACGGAGTTTGAAGACCCCTGTCTTAAAGGTTTCCCATTCTTGTTCCTACCCATAACTTTCATAAAACATGATGAAATATTTCATCTACATTTATTTGTAGTGCTCTTGCTCATCACCCGAAGCTTCCTGGAGGCCACAGCATACCAAGGGCTTAGTTGTGACTCCCAACTGTTCAGGTATTGCCCACTCCTGCTACAGTCTGACATATGACAGGATCACTGACTTCTGTATTCTCTCTTAACTAAGGCCAGCCAGGTTAGAAGCCTATAAGCAAGCTAGTAACTGCTGCCCCTGATCAAAGCAACATTACTTGGCCATCTACAGCTTATTCAACTGAAAGAGAATCCACAATATTTTTAGCGTGGGAATGAAAATATTCAATTTTCCTGGGTTCAACAGCAGCCCTTGTTAGATGTTAGATCCTAACACCCGATAACTGGTAATGAGGAAGTTGTTGAAGATGAAAGAAGAGAGTTCAGTATTGAAAAACTATGTCCACAGGCAATGCCAAATCACCATAGAAAGTTAAAGAACAAGTTGGGGAACTTAACACATCTTATCTTCTCAGGCTTTGCAGCCATGAAATAAAGAGACATTTGTTACTTGGGGAAAAACAAAACTGTAACAAATCTAGACCAAATCTTAAAATTGCACTGACACAGAAAGATACATATTGCCAAGGCCATGTTTTTTTCAGTTGTAACATATGGCCGTGAAAGCTAGTTCATCAGAAAGGCTGCAGAAAGACAAATTGTGGTGTTGAAAAAAGTATTGCTTGGTGCTGGAAAAAGTATAGCTTGGAACAAATTGTTCAGTGTAATGTGAAGTAAAATCAAACTACTCACTGGGAGCACCCTAAAAATGAAGCTTTATTTTGGACACATAATGAGAAGCCAGGAATAAGTGAAGAAGACCTGATGCTATGGGTCAGTGATGGCGAACCTTTTAGAGACCGAGTGCCCAAACTGCAACCCAAAACGCACTTATGCATCGTCGGGTGCCGGGTGGGGGTGGCCAATTGGGGGGGGTGGCCCATTTGGTGGGCGTGGCTGCGGTGGTAACAGCAGACTGGGTGGGACTAAAAAGTTCAATCAATCAATTCCAACTTTGCAAGATTTTTTTTCCCACGAGTTGAAATTGACTGATTGAACTTTTTTTTTTGCACATGGCGGCGGAGGCCTAAAGCGAAAAGGTTTTATAAAACCCAGCTGAAGGCCTAGGACTGGGGCGATGGCGCGCGTGCCCACAGAGAGGGCTCTGAGTGCCGCATCTGGCACCCGTGCCATAGGTTCGCCACCACTACTATAGGTATTTGCCCTGAGAAGAGAGGGCAAAGAATTAAATGTGATGTAAACTTTGCCCTTTACCTGTGACATTGCCATGCAAGTAGGAAAGGGTGTGATGTCCTAAATTATGTTCTGTTATGGATGGTTATGCCTGACTTTGGAAAATCAAAGACATTTTTATTTATTTTTAAAGGGAGACAGAAGAGTAACTACAGTAATCAGACATTCTCATTGAAGACACAAGCATAAGTTTACAGGAGCTCAGAAATACAATTATTGACTTAGAGACTTGGTAAAATAGATGCTTACTGGCCACCATAGAGCAAGGCTTTTCAAACAGTGGTACGGGTACCACCTGTGGTATATTGGCACCTGGCAGGTAGTACGCGACCATCCTAGAAAAGTGGTAGCGGGGGAGGGGAATGAGCTGAACCGGTGGCAGCACCGCACAAACCTGAGCGAAAGATGGCTGGAGCTGCAGGGCTGTCAGGGCTCAGCGGAAGTGCCAGGATCAGTGCTGCTTTCCAGCTGATCGGCGCTTCTTCGGGGCTATTAGGGATCAGCTGGAATGTTGCAGCATCTCCAGGGTCTTGTGATTTACATTCAGATGCTTGGCAACTGATTCATATTTATGACGGTCACAGTGTCCCAGGGTCATGTGAAGTGACCAAAACTTACTGCAACCACCCAGCAGACGGGAGGAATAAAATCCAAACACCCGCCCACCCCACCCCCGCTGCCAATCCTCAACAGAAATGCTCACAACAATGAAAACCTCGGATAGGAGGAAGAGCGCCACCAGGTGGGCAGGCAGATGTCTTGCTCGGCTGTGGCTTGAGGGGCACTTTTTTCAGTGCCATTGTAACTTTGAACAGTCACTAAGCGATCTGTTGTAAGTCGAGGACTACCTGTACTTTATCACTTTTTTCCTTTTTTGGGGGGGGTCATCAAGTTTTTGACACGTTGCTAGGCGACTGGTGGTACTCGGATGTTGCCATATCCTAAAAGTGGTACAATGGGTGAAAAGGTTGAAAAGCCCTCCCATAGAGAGTCTGGAGCTCTCTATTGCTTAGTCAGGCTAAGCAGAATCGGAGAGTATTGTATAGCAATAGCACTTCAAGTTCCTCTGGGGAAAAAAAAGCAAGCAAAGGCCATAGCTATTACGTCAAATGAATAGTGCATTTACTCTCACGGGTACCAGAAATGCTAAATATGAAACAAAATGAATTTAGGAGGCACAGAGGCAGATTGAACAGGGTGCAAAAGTCAGCCGGCCTTTCCAACCTGGACGGGCGACGTTGTTTTCGCCCGCCGTCTTGCCATCGCGGACTTGGCCGTTTGTGGGCATCCTTGGAACAAAGCAGCTCTTGCTTCTTGCAACGCGAGTACTCGCGGGGGGGGGGGAAACCTTGATTGGAAATCCCCCCCCCCGAGACGTACCGGGGTGGGGTGGGGGGGCTGTAAAACGGAAACGCTCCGCTCCTGCTCGGGGCCGCCCGTTCGCTTTCCGTCCCAGCCGTGCCCGGCTTTCCATCCGCTTGCCCTTCCCCTTCGGAACCGCGTCCCTTGCGGCGGCCTCCGGAACGGCAGGTGGCGCTGTGGGGGCCTCTTCAGGCGCGAGCGGCCGGACGAAGCGCCGCTTTTTGGCCTGTGGCATCGGGACGGAGGCGCGGGCCCTTTTCGAAGGACTTCCAAGTGCTGGGAGCACCGCGCACCGGCCTCGCCGGCATCATGGGCCGCAGGTGGGCTGCTTTGGCGGGCGCGGGAGGAAGAGGGCCTTGGCGGGGGGGGGGGGAGGAAGCTGCTGTGCCCCGGCGGGCGCACGGGGAAGCGCCGACCCACGCCGGCAATCTGGAAAGCTCGGATCCGGCCGAGCAAGGAAGCCGGTGTCGGCGGGGCAAGAGGGGCGGGGGTGCCTTGGGGAGCAGAACAGGAGGCTTTTCAGACCATGGCGGGGTGGCTGCCGCTCCCGGCAAAAAACGCGGGATGCTTAGTTCATCCCGCATCCCTGGGAGAATCTAATGGGGACTCTGTCACTGGGAAGGCTGAGAGCAGTTCTGGTTGTGTGTGCGGTGGGGAGACCTTTCCATAAAAATTGGGCACTTTGGGTAGCATTTTTTTCTTTCTTTCATCGGGAGGTGGGTAATAGCCATGGCTGGCGATTAAACTTTTTCAGATCGGACGCGGGATGAAATCGGCATTCAGTAGTAATGAAGGGAGACTACCGAGTAGCGTTTGTTCCAGGTTGGCCTTTCAGTGTCATTTGATGAATAGCTGGGTAGATAATTGTACTGTTAAACTGGACTGATCTGAAAGGTACTCCTGCTGCATTTTAATATTTCATGCAATTGCAAATTACGTATTGTTCCTAACACCTTCTATCCTACTGAAAGCACAAGTAGGAACTTAGAAACGGAATGGATGGGCTGTAACATTTGAATAGGACACTGGTTTGGATCCACATTAAGCAATTGCAAATACAGCCTGTGGAACAAGAGTTTTAAATCTGGGTAATTTATGAATTACCCATTGGTCACGTAGCTAAAAAATTTCAGCGCTGCTGGAGAAAAAATGTTCTGCTAATCTGGGTGTGCGAAGATGTGATTAAAGTGTATTTGCTATGCCTGTATAATTTAATGCATGATTACTAACAAATTAAATTGATTCACTGAGGCCTCGTTGTTAGATGTACATAGTAAACCTTTCTTCCAAAAGGTTTGTATGACGCTCAAAGTTGACAGTGTAATTTTTATATTGCATATGTTCTGAGACTTGATCACTGATTTTCATTCAGTCCTCCATTTATTAGAGGAAAAAAACAGAGGATCACCTTTTTCAAGGCCACTTAGTTTTTAAAGGGATTTGAATCCAGTTTTTTCCTGCCAAGGACTATAGTTTGATTGGATCGTACAAGCTTTATTTACATGTCATGGCTAACCTAGTGATCCTGTCCTCCAGTGAATTCAGTCACTTTTGATTGGTATCATATATTGTGCGCAACAATGGATTTTGTTGACTAGCAGCCAAGTTTTTAGTCCTTCCAGCCAAAAACAAAGAGAATTGGGAGGCAGTTACAACCCTTACCACTTCCTGCCTCTTGTTTTTCTCATCTGGAAGGGGGATGAGCAACTTCTCTTGGCAACAGCAGGATCAGTGCCATTATTTAAAAGGTTTTGGAATACCCATTTCTGTTTCCTTTTCACCTTCCCCTCTTCCAAGTGGCTGCTGGGATGAAATGGTTACAGAATTACATTGTTGTATAGAAAATACTTGTTTTTATAAGATCCCTCTTTCTTGTGATCCTGTATGTTGGAAGGGATAGTTAATTTTCATATTAAACCCTAAACTTACTTATCCAGGGAGTTGCCAGTAATCAAGAATAACTAAAAGGCACAGAGGCAAAAAGTTTTTATGTTGTGGGGAGGACTAGTTGACTGATGGGAATTAGTTTAGCCCCAAACAAGAATTGCTCTAGATAGGAAAAAAATCTAGCCTTATCTGAGTTTATTGGGTTAATTATCTGTGGTTTTGGAGCTTGTATAACTTATTTTCCCCACCCCTTCTGCCATCACAGTTATGCCTGTTGTGCAAATGACGCTCAACACCTTAGTCCAACATTAGATCTGAAATATGTATATTTACAGAGACACAAAAACAGTCTCCCAATAGATTTAACCATATTTGAATCTTACTTTCTTTACACAAACAAGGCTGCAAAGCTGTTGACAAAACCCCCAGTAAAAATAGATTAAAAGTAAAAATATGTCCTCTGAAATTATATAAACTCAACAACCAGTAGCAAAATACAAAATAAATTTGGTACCATGCAAACATACTTATAAAGAATATTGTGATCACTTGACATCTCACAATCTATTAGAGAAGGGAGAGGATGATAGAGGAGGGAGAGGAACATTTATGGAACTCTTTATGGAACATGTTAGATACATACAGTGCCAACATTGAGAAGATTTGCTACTTCTACCCTTTTATCTAATAACTTATATTGAATGAAAGTGAAAAACAAATTTCAATGTCATGAATATAAAGAAGATTCATTTTATATTATTATCGTCAGCCTGAATTAGTCCCCTGCAAGATGAAGCCATCTTCATTGAAGCTTATGGACCATAATCTACTATGCTGATTCAGAGTAGAAAGATGTTTCTCAGCTTCCTGGTCTAAGACTGAAACAGAGTCGCTGGTACAAACTCATCCAGCCAGCCTGCATGCTTAAGAGAGGACTGGAATCTGTGTTTCACTGTTCCTAGTCCAGCAACTTAACCGCTTTACTATACAGGCTCTCACTTTACTTACAAACACACACACACACACCATAAAATTAGCACACAGTTAAGTGGCCTGATTTATTAATATCAAAGTTTAGTTTGACATAGTGCTAGTTTTAGTAGTTAGTTTTTAGAACACTTCATACCCTGAATCAATCATGTTAAAGTTAACCTTCCAAATGTTATCCTTCCTTCTAATCTGAATCTTCAGCATAATTCCTCTCATCATGCATTCTCATGCTACCCATTAATATTTCACGATCTCCATATTACATATACTAACATCCAAAAAACTCCTTACGCACTCAGAACAAACTTGTGTGAGCGGGTTTTGAAAGTTATTTTTATTGTGGAACATCAAAGAAAGAAAACGTTTTGAAGAATAATTTTACTTAATATTTATAGGCTTTGCATTGGTGTTATATGTGTATATGTAAATTTATAGAACTATTCATTTTTGTTCTTGTTCACAGAACCCTCCTTTTTATTGGTTCAGACACCACTTATTTTATTCCATAAATAGTGTGTTGTAAACTCTGGATTTCTCTATACAATAAAAATTAAGCAATACTAAATTGGCAACTGTATCCACTGTTACTTTTTATTGCAGCAATGAGAATTACATTTGGAGCTTATGAAATTTTGTGCTGTATTTTTAATATAAATTTAAACTNGGAAGCTGCTGTGCCCCGGCGGGCGCACGGGGAAGCGCCGACCCACGCCGGCAATCTGGAAAGCTCGGATCCGGCCGAGCAAGGAAGCCGGTGTTGGCGGGGCAAGAGGGGCGGGGGTGCCTTGGGGAGCAGAACAGGAGGCTTTTCAGACCATGGCGGGGTGGCTGCCGCTCCCGGCAAAAAACGCGGGATGCTTAGTTCATCCCCAACCCTGGGAGAATCTAATGGGGACTCTGTCACTGGGAAGGCTGAGAGCAGTTCTGGTTGTGTGTGCGGTGGGGAGACCTTTCCATAAAAATTGGGCACTTTGGGTAGCATTTTTTTCTTTCTTTCATCGGGAGGTGGGTAATAGCCATGGCTGGCGATTAAACTTTTTCAGATTGGACGCGGGATGAAATCGGCATTCAGTAGTAATGAACGGAGACTACAGAGTAGCGTTTGTTCCAGGTTGGCCTTTCGGTGTCATTTGATGAATAGCTGGGTAGATAATTGTACTGTTAAACTGGACTGATCTGAAAGGTACTCCTGCTGCATTTTAATATTTCATGTAATTGCAAATTACGTATTGTTCCTAACACCTTCTATCCCAGGGCTTTTCAACCTTTTCACCCATTGTACCATTTTTAGGATATGGCAATATCTGAGTACCACCAGTCGCCTAGCAAGGTGTCAAAAACCTGATGACAAAAAAAAAAAGGGAAAAAAGTGATAAAGTACAGGTAGTCCTCGACTTACAACAGTTTGCTTAGTGACTGTTCGAAGTTACAATGGCACTGAAAAAAGTGCCCAAGGCACAGCTGAGCAAGACACCTGCCTGCCCGCCGGCGCTCTCATTCGCCTCCCCCGCTACCACTTTTCTAGGATGGTCGCGTACCACCTGCCAGGTGCCAATGTACCACAGGTGGTACCCGTACCACTGGTTGAAAAGCCCTGTTCTATCCTACTGAAAGCACAAGTAGGAACTTAGAAACGGAATGGATGGGCTGTAACATTTGAATAGGACAGTGGTTTGGATCCACATTAAGCAATTGCAAATACAGCCTGTGGAACAAGAGTTTTAAATCTGGATAATTTATGAATTACCCATTGGTCACGTAGCTAAAAATTTCAGCGCTGCTGGAGAAAAAATGTTCTGCTAATCTGGGTGTGCAAAGATGTGATTAAAGTGTATTTGCTATGCCTGTATAATTTAATGCATGATTACTAACAAATTAAATTTATTCACTGAGGCCTCGTTGTTAGATTTACATAGTAAACCTTTCTTCCAAAAGGTTTGTATGACGCTCAAAGTTGACAGTGTAATTTTTATATTGCATATGTTCTGAGACTTGATCACTGATTTTCATTCAGTCCTCCATTTATTAGAGGAAAAAAACAGGATCACCTTTTCAAGGCCACTTAGTTTTTAATGGGATTTGAATCCAGTTTTTTCCTGCCAAGGACTATAGTTTGATTGGATCGTACAAGCTTTATTTACATGTCATGGCTAACCTAGTGATCCTGTCCTCCAGTGAATTTAGTCACTTTTGATTGGTATCATATATTGTGTGCAACAATGGATTTTGTTGACTAGCAGCCAAGTTTTTAGTCCTTCCAGCCAAAAACAAAGAGAATTGGGAGGCAGTTACAATCCTTACCACTTCCTGCCTCTTGTTTTTCTCCTCTGGAAGGGGGATGAGCAACTTCTGTTGGCAACAGCAGGATCAGTGCCATTATTTAAAAGGTTTTGGAATACCCATTTCTGTTTCCTTTTCACCTTCCCCCCTTCCAAGTGGCTGC